TATTAACCACATAAAAATTAAACGTTTCTTAATTTTTTAAGTTTATCTATTAAATTCTAATTATTATTTCGCACCGTGATTATCATAAAAAAAGTAAGTAATATGCAAAATTTAGTAAATTTATAATATTGTTCAAATATCGATTTAGCATTGATTATATAACAATAAAATAATGTTAATAGATTGCATTGATTTTCTTATTAGTAATGTAACGATTCAATAAATTTATCAACGATTATAAATGTGCAAAACATAACGATCTAATCGAGTGTACTAAGAACTAGTTTCAGCGCAAGAGACAGATAAATTTAATGAATATTATATGTAACATATTTTAAATTAATTTTTGTACTTGATTTGTGTCTGGACAAGGATCGCAATTAATTTTACATAATTCGACATTACATTCGATAAATAAATCCATAACATCAGGAAATTTGAAGGCTTGAAAGAACGCATAAGCGATAATAGAAGCGCCCGTATTGCCCGTATTATTTGTCTTTTGAAAGGCACTAAACAGTTTCGGTTTCAGAATGCAGCCTCTTTCGTCGGTGAGCTGCAACATATTGGTTGAGGCTTCGTCTCGCGCCAAACAGTCACGCACCTTAAAAGTAATTGTTTCGTTCATATTTTATATTTGCAATCAGGCCTAAATAAAATTTATTATTTTAGAATTTAAAATAGACGACGAATAATTATTATTGCTTGCAATAGCTTGTAATTATTTCTTGTGTATTTATGAATAAATAGCATTATATTGTTTGATTTTCTATATGTAAGATGGATTTCAATGGTACCTGAAGATCGAAACCAGGATCCTTTACAGAAACTACTAAGGTCATAGTTTCTCCAATCTTTACGAGACCATCGACTGTAGGTGCAAAAGGTCCTTTACCGATTTGAATATCTAATTTGACTGTTGCAGTATCGCCACTAAAAGTAACGATCTCCTGGTTCAACATATCTATTGAGAGATTCACCATTAAAGCTTTATTAATGTTTCCTTCCCAAAGACATCGTATTCTTCGAATTACATCCCATACTTCTTGTATACCTGATTCATTCTGGTTTTTGGGGACAAAAACTTTTTACTTTTAAATCTAATAATTATATTCGTTTTTTTTTT